TTATTTATTTATTATGAATACAATATTCTGTTTGTGTGTATGCTAGCAGACCAAAAGAGGGCACCAGGCCCCATTACAGATGGTTGTGAGCCACCATGTGGTTGCTGGGAATTGAACTCAAGACCTCCAGAAGAGCAGTCCATGCTCTTAACCTCTGAGCCACCTCTCCAGCCCCCGTAATTTTTTTTTTATTTTAGAGACAGGGTTTCTCCGTAGCTTTTTTGGTTCCTGTCCTGGAACTAGCTCTTGTAGACCAGGCTGGCCTTGAACTCACAGAGATCCGCCTGCCTCTGCCGAGAGAGAGAGAGAGAGAGAGAGAGAGAGAGAGAGAGAGAGAGAGAGAGAGAGAGAGAGAGAGAGACCCTGTCTCAAAAACAAAACCAGTGTCTATCTATGCTCTGGGTACGAGCTGGTGGTAAGGCACTTCTCTCAAACTATTTTATTGTCTTTTTGAGATAAGGTCTTTCTAGATAGTCCGTGCTGGCCTGGAACTTGTCGTGACCTTCCTGTAAGCGTTAGAGGTTGTGTACAAAGGGAGTACAAAGGGTACTCCTGGCGGGAACCAGGGAGTACCACAACGTTACTGGAACCGTAGCAGTTTACAGCTCTATTCCAGGAAAGTTTTCCCCAATGCAAGGGTAACTAGACTGTCTCCCAATGCACCACCAGGCTTTGTATTTTTTCACACTTTGCCTTTTCTCTAGAACTCCTTAATAGTCCATAAAAGATTCTGTTAAGTGGGCTGGGGGTGAAGTTCTGTGGTACCGTGCATACCGATTATGCTAGGGGCCTTGGGTTCAAACTCCAGCACCTCGCGGGTAGGGTTTGGGAGTTGGGGTGTTTTACAAGTTTGAGTCTGAAGATCGAGCTGTTTCCCTACTCTTTTTTCAACAACCCCCGCCGTTTTACAGAAGAAGGAATATCTAGTTGAGTTCAAAATCTCTGCTTTACAGGTAACCGAAGCTACAGAGCGTTGCGGTTGCTATGGTTCCCGGCGCCCGCAGCGTGACGTCAGTCCGCGGCGCAGTTTGATTACGCGATGATTTCCGGCGCCTCTTTGCGAGCCGGGCCGCGGGGAGGAGAAACTTAGCTATCAGTGTGGCAGGGTCATGAAGAGGAGGCGGTGGCGGGAGAGCGGAGGAGGCGGAGGGGGCGCGAAATTGCGGTAGCCAGCGCTGGGCTGGTGATTGTGGCCGTGTGGGAGGGAGAGGGTCCGAGCCCTCGGGCAGCTGCCGGGGCTCTGGGCTGAGCGCGGCTGTGGAGCCGCTGCTCCCGGCCCCCTGGCTCCGCCATGTTCCGCAGGGCACGCCTTAGCGTGAAGCCGAATGTCAGGCCTGGTGGAGGCTCCAGGGGCTCCGCCGCTCCTAATTCCCAACGTGTACCGGAGGCTCCCAGGCCTCCCGAGCCTGCCACCGAGTCCTCTCCGAAGCCAGCGGAGCCCACAGATGTGCCTGCGCCTGCGGTGGCTTCCGGGGAAGCGGAGCCCCAGGAAAAGGATCCCAGGAGCAGGTATGGTCTTCTAGAACGAGCATGAAGCCGAGTACCTCGTCTGCAGCAAGCCTTTGGCTTGAGCTGGACGAAACCACTCCTAGCTGTAGTTTAATTCCCTGATCAGAAGGTGTGACTGCTGATTCTGTCATGATTCTCGAGAAGACCCTTTTTTTTTTTTTTTTTTTTTTTTAAACAGGGATGGGAATTCAGGTTTCACAATTCCGAATTCACGAATAGGCACGCTATCACTAAGAATTTAATTCTCCTATTCTCCTGGAGCATTTTACTCGGAAAGCAGTTTGGGATTTTCATTTTGTGAATATTTATTTTTAAAAGGAGAACACCAATGTTTCTTGAATTTCTTTTTCCCCCTCCACGCGGTGATGCAGTTGAATCCCAGCGCCTCATGCGTGTCAGGCAAGCGCCCTGTCAGAGCCACACCTGCAGAATTTGTCAAACTCAGGTTGCTTATTTTGGTTTGAGTGTGTACTCCTTTATAGTTGCAATGTTTCCCGAATTAAGACGCCTCGCTTTAGCGTCAAATACCCTATTTAAATGCAGGACTCTACTTCTTAGTTTAAGAATTCCTCAGTGAAAATTTATTCCTCTCTTAGATGTCAGTAGTACCTCCTTTGGGGCAGTATTTTGAGATCAGATATGATTTTATAAACTATTTTGAGAATGACATGGAAGAGTAGTTCCTCCATATTTACTAATTTCAAAAAAAGTGACAAGAACCAGGTGTAGTCCGCATGCATTTAGTCCTAGCAATCGAGAGGCTGAGGCAGGTGGATCTCTGTGAGTTCGAGGCCAGCCTGGTCTACGGAGTGAGTTGTAGAACAGTCAGGATTATGTAGACGCTGTCTCAAAAAACAAAACAAGGAAAGGTGATGGTACACTGATTGCAGTTTTTCTATTACACAGAGGAAGAAGCCAGTAAACTGCTAATCATGTTGACAGGGAGATGGTACAAATTACGTTTGCATAGCAACAGCATTTCTTCTGTGATCTGAGTTGGTGCTCTGTGTTATTTTGATATTTCAATGATTCTCCATATTTCCAAGTTTCTATTTAGAATGAAAATACTAGTGTTGGTCATTACTCAAAGGGGTTTGGAGATTTTTGTTAGCTGTGTTGGAATGCATGCTATGGTCCTGAGATATCTAGATTATTTACACACACATAAATTTGTTGTTGGTTTTTGTTTTGTTTTTTAGGCAGGATTTCACTATGTGGCTTTGACTTGCCTGGAACAAAGAGATCCATCGCCTCTGCCTTCTGAGTACTGGGATTAAAAGCATGTGCCACCATGTCCAGCAGTTTGTCTGTCTGTCTTTCTTTCTTTCTTTCTTTCTTTCTTTCTTTCTTTCTTTCTTTCTTTCTTTCTTTTTTTTAAGAGAGAATTTTCATGTAGCTCAGGCTGGCCTAGAACTGACTGTGCATGAGGAGATGCCCTTGAATTCCTGATCCCACTGCTGTGCCTTCTGAATGCTGAAGTGGCAGATGTGTGCAGCTGTGCCTGGTTCCTGTGGCATTGGCGATGGAAGCCAGGCCTCTATGCATGCTGCCCAAGCACTCAGCCAGCTTAGCTACATCCCAAGTCTTTTTCCTTATTTGATGAGACCATTTTGTTCTGGGTTTTTGCTAGTTGTAGAAACCAACAGAGTATGCATTTAACGTAGAAAATGCCAGGTTGATGTGTTACATCGTTTTAAGGGTCACAGTTTTTGCTGAACCCCAGGGCTTTGTGCATATTAGGCAAGCAGTCTACCATTGAGTTTTATCTGTCTTCAGCTTTAGGAAAAGAGTTTAAATTAAAAGTCTTTTTTAGAGAGATTATACCAGAGGTTAAGATAGCTTCAACTTTATATAGAAGTAATGATAAGATAAAAATAGACTTAAAATCTTGATTTATATCCCCCCTAAAATCAATCAGTCAGTCTGTCTGTCTGTCTATCTATCTATCTATCTATCTATCTATCTATCTATCTGCATTAGTGTTTTGCCTGTATGAATGTATGTTTATGTGAAGGTATCAGATCCCTTAGAACTGGAGTTACAGACAGTTGTGAGCTGCCATGTGGGTGCTGGGAATTGAGCCAAGGTCCTCTGGAAGAGCAGCCAGTGCTCTTAACCAATGAGCCATCTCTCAAGCTCCTATACCCCCTTTTCAACGTTAAATGATAGTACTTATTTATGGAGTATGATGTGTTATTTCGGTATGTATTTGGAATGTGTCATGGTTTGATATATCACTTTAAAAGTTTATTATTTCTTTGTGTTGATCGTTCCAGATCTTTTCTATAACAATCTTGTGATAAAAATTGTCAACCATAGTTATCCTGCCTGCTAAAGTGCGTTTTAGAAGTAGATGTTAATGCTATTCAACTTCACCTCTGGTTTCTTTCTTTTTTTTGCTTTTTGAGACAGGGTTTCTCTGTGACTGCCCTGGAACTCTCTGTAGAGCGGGCTGGGCTTGAACTCAGAGATCTGCCTGCCTCTGTGATGTGACTGAAGGTGTACACCACTCTGCCTGGCTTTTTGCTTTTTAAGAAATTTTATGCATGTGGGTGTTTGTCTTTGTGCACCACTTGCATGCCTGGTGCTTATGGAAACTAGAAGAGGATGTTAGATTCCCTGGAACTAGAGTTACAGACAGTTGTGAGCTACATCTGGGTTCTGGGAATTGAACCCAAGCAGCCAGTGCTCTTTCTTAATCTTGAGTCGTGATGTCAGCCCATTTCTGAGAGACTTATATCTGATCTGTACCATAGTCAATATGACTAGATCTTTTTTTTTTCTCCTGTTTTTTGAGCTAGGGTCTCATGTAGCCTAAGCTAGCCTCAACTCTTATGTTGCTAAGGATGATCGTAAACTTTTCTGATCCTTCTGCTTCTACTTCCTCAGTATTGCAATTATAGACATGTAGCAAAACAAAAATGTCCAAACCTCTCAGCTGTTTATTTATTAAAAATTTGCTAATTAAGCCTTGTTCTGTGTCTTAGCTGTTGTTGTTTCGTGCTCAGCATATTATTAATGTTTTATGTTGGGCTTAGGGATTGAAGTTTGAAAAAGATTAACTTAAACAGACTTAGAATTTACATGCACAAAAACTATTTATTTTTTGTTGTTTGAAGATTTTGTGTGTGTGTGTGTGTGTGAATGTCACGTGTGTGCAGATGTCCATGGAGGACAGAAAGTGTGGGATCTATGGAGTTAGAGTTCTGGGTGTTTGTGCACCACTTGATGTCAGTACTGGGAACCATTCTGGTCCTGGAGAAGTAAAAGTACATTTATCCCTCTCAGTAGCCCTGCTTTGTTCTGAGATAGTCTTACCTGGTAGGCAGCTTAAGCTTCTTGGCTTCAGACTCATGGCAGTCTGTCTGCCTCAGCTTCCCTTTGCTGGGAATAGTGTGTGAGCTCTCACATCTGGCTAAGAAAGTTTTAAACAAGACTTTGTTGTAATCAACATAAATCTGAGAAGTCATGGTTTTATGCATTTTTTTCTGTATTGAGACCTTACTATAGTTTTAAAACTAGCATAAGATTCATGATGTCCACTCTTTCTTTTATATTTCAACAGTGATGCAAAGACTGGTGATGAAAATAATGTTGAAGAGTCCAGCAAATCATCCTCTACTGTTTCTCAGAGAAGAAAGCGAGTGCCAAGCACTTCTAGTCTTGCGAAGCCTACTGTCAGTGTTCCTTCACAGTGTCAACCCTTGTCTGCAGTTAACCACGATGCTCCGCAGCCCAGCCCTACTCCAGCTAAAGACAAGCCCCCGTGTTCAGATAGATACCGAATATACAAGGCCAGGAAACTGAGAGAGATGCTGAAAGAAGAGTTGAGGAAAGAGAAGGTAAGTTGAAGAAACACAAAATTTAGATGCTGCATGCTAGATTTCTATATTTAGCTTTAGAAGAAAAAGAAGTATGTGTTGAAATGGATGGGAAAATAATACCAGATAATGACTCGTGTGTAACATAACATCTTGTGTAATACAAAGTAATAGAGTGGTATATTATTTGTGTTTTAGCTCAGAGGAAAAAGCAGCCATACTAGTCAGCTACACAGCCAGGCAACAATGCACACACCTTTAATCCCAGGACTCTGTGAGTTCAAGGCCACCCTGGGCTACACACTATTGAATCTGTGTAAAGAAGAAACAGGTGATTCCAGCATTTGGGATCCCATGCCTTTAATCCCAGCATTAGGGAGGTATAGACAGGAGTATGGCTGGACAGAGAGAGGACTGTAAAGGGGAAGAGATAGGAACTCAGGAGAGTATGGAGTCTGAGGATTCGTGGAGACAGAATCTTGCCTTTTGGGTCTGAATTTTTGGCAGAGGTAAAAGGTCTCTCTAGTGGTTGGCTGCTTTGCTTGTCTGATCTTCAAGTTGAACCCCAGTATCTGTCTCTGGGTTTTTATTATTTGTGCTTCAAAGTAAACCTTGTAAATTTACTTTTTTTTCAACTGATAGACTTTATTATTATTACTATTTATTAATTTTCAGGGTTTTTTGGGGGGGCATTTGCAATGATCTTTAACTCAATGTGTAACTCACTCTGTAGTCAAACCATCTTACTGACCCAGCCATCCATATCTTGTATCATCACATTTTCCTTGATAGTCATTTTAAAATTATTTTATTCATTTAAATTTTTCACTAGTTTTGGTGATAATAAGAAGTAAGTTTTTTATGAACATGCAGATAGATACACAAGCATATGAAAATAGTTTCCATAAAAATGTCTAAGCGATGTGGAGTAATTTGAATTAAAATGAGTATAATCAAGCAAATGTGAATGTTTTAAATTGAACTATGGCCAAAAAACTTACGCAGTGCATATAATAAGAGTTGTGTCCCTTTTAATCAGGCACGGTATACAGTGGAACAGTAATAAAGCTGGCTTTGGAGTTAGAAACGTAGGCTTCATCCCTTATTAGCAGTGTGATGTTGGGCGGCTTAGTCTTTTTTGTATCTCTGTTTCTCTTTCTCTGTAAAATATTACCAACAATGATACTAAAACCTCACTGGAGGATTTTGAAGATTTATTATTCATGCGTTTGAACTAATGTGTTTTAGTGTTTAGAAAGTAGTGAACAACAAATGTCAGCTGTTTTAGCTAATTACAGAACACCTCATTTTGGTAGTGTTGGGGATTGAACTCTGGACCTCATATATGTGAGGCAGGTGCTTTAACACTGAGCCACATTCCTAGCTTTGATAAACAGAATTGTATATGCTGAGCTTTTTATCTAGTGCCAATTTTTTGGATTTTTTCTCTTTCTTTCTTTTTAATTAATTAATTAATTAATTTATGTATTTATTATGTATACAATGTTCTGTCTGTGTGTATGTCTGCAGGCCAGAAGAGGGCACCAGACCCCATTACAGATGGTTGTGAGCCACCATGTGGTTGCTGGGAATTGAACTCAGGACCTTTAGAAGAGCAGGCAATGCTCTTAACCTCTTGAGCCATCTCTTGAGCACTCTTTCTTTCTTTTGATGTATATAAATGCTCTATCTGCATGTATGAATTTATGTCAGAAGAGGGCACCAGATCTCACTATAGATGGTTGTGAGCCACCATGTGCTTGCTGGGGATTTTGAATTCAGGACCTCTGGAAGAGCAGTCAGTGCTCTTAACCGCTGAGCTCCCTAGCTCCCAACTTTTTGGATTTTAAAAATTGTTAAGAGGTGATTCATCTTTGAGAAACTTTTATCCATGCTCTCTTAGGTTTGTTAACTGTCTTCAGAGTGCCTCTCCATCTTAACTCTTGCTGTGAAGCCCATGGTAAAATATCTTTAATTAAAATAAGGGTTTGGAGAGGTGGTTCACTGGTTAAAAGTGCTTGCTTTACAATCTTGGATCCCAGCACCTATGTAACAAGTTGGGCATCCCACAAATGGCTGTAATCTCACCTCTGAGATGGGCTAGGATCACTGGGTCTTGCTGATTTCTACTCTAGCTAAGATGTAAGCCCTTGCCTCAAAAGACTTAAGTAGCGAGTGATATAGGGCGACACTCAGTGGCCTTTTCTGGCCTCCATGGGGCATGGACACATCTACCCGTGCTCACACATGCATGCATACACACAAATCAAATTACATCATCATAAAACATCTATAATAAAACCTCTAATTCTGCTTTATTTTAAAATGCTACTAAGGAAAAAGAAAAACTACTAAGGGTATTGTATAATACAACATTCAGGTTATAAATGACTTCTTAAAATTAGGTATAATTATAGTAATATTAAATTTAAAGCATTTTAAGTCAGTGGGTTGTGTATTTGAGTTTAGGGTGTCTGAAATTATTTTTTTTCATAAAATCTCTGTATATAGAAACAATGGAAAAACAAGTTTGCTACAAACGAAAGCCAGAGGCCACCAGATCGTTCAAAAATGACCATGAGAGACTTCATATATTACCTGCCAGATAACAATCCAATGACGTAAGTAAAATTTATTTGTGCTTTAATTTCATTGGGTATATAGTGATATGGCACTTTTAGAGTACAGTTTCTTGTTTTTTAGAAGCCTGTTGATAAAATAAAATTTCTAACAAAATGAGTATAGATACATTTTTCTCCTGGGGTACTGAGGTCTAAGCTGATGCTTTTCCCACGTGCGGTACTCACAATCGTGCTCTATCAAGTGACTACTTTCTGGGATGATCATGATGCCCTTCCTTTATCTCCAAGATGAAAAGGGGCTCCTTTATTGTTTTAATTATCAGGATAGAGTGTAACTTCTATTTTTTATGTACTATAATGCTATAGAAAGGAATCTTTAGTTTTTATGCCCTATACATTAGTAACGGTACAGTTTGAGTAACAAGTCCTTCATGAACAAAGCTTTAATTCTTTAATTAAAGTTAGCCTGAGATAGAAGGTAGAAATCCTGGAAATCTGTTCATTGTGATTTTGGTGGTGTAGGATATGGAATTAGCGTATTTCTTCAGTATAAGTGTCTTTTACGTTCATCCGGTCTTTGTTGGCCTCATTGAAGAAAGGGCAAGAAACATAAGTTTGAGTTTGACAGCTATCGGCTGGAGATGAGCCTCCTAGGTTGCTTCATTTCCTAGAGCTGAGAGTCTCTCTTCACTAAGGAATTAGGGGGTAAAAACATTTCTGATTTAGGCCACAGCAGATATTGGTACTTGGTGAATTTTTTATCTATTTATTTAGGTTGGGATGTGTGCTGGGAATCAAGTTAATTCTCAGCCTTCACTGAGCTCATTTCCCAGGCACAGGGAAAAATGATTGCTGAACATTTTAATGAGATGTTTTAGTATATTGTATTAAAAATAGGGGGACTGGAAAGATGGCTCAGTTGTTAAGAGTACTGACTGCTCTTCCAAAGGACCTGGGTTCAATTCCCAGCACCCACACGGCCGCTCACAACTGTCTGTAACTCCAGCTCCAGTGAACCCGACACCCATGATAAAACAATAATGCACATAAAACAAAAAGAAAACATAAAAATAGAAGCTAAGATATTTTTTGGTTATAGATATAATTGATATAATTATAGATATAATCCTATAGATAGTATTGATAAAATATCAATTTATTTAAAAGTATTCTTTTATTTGTACTTAACAGTTCTTCAGTGGAACAAGAAAAGAAAACCGAAAAATCCTTGGCTCCTACCCCGGCAAGAGAGTGAGCATCTTATCTTGCTCTTTTACAAATGTTGTTTAGGTGCCTTTCTGTTGTTGCTGGGTACCAAATTGGGACCACACACAGGTGCCTCACCACTGAGTTATACCCACCATTGGATACACTTTTAAAATGAAGTCTAATGTCCTTCCTTCCTTTTTCCCCCTTTCTTTTTCCTTCCTTCTTTCCTTTCTTCTCTCTCTCTCTCTCTCTCTCTCTCTCTCTCTCTCTCTCTCTCTCTCCCTTCTCCTACCCCTACCTTCCTTCCTCTCTTCCTTTCTTTCTTACAGGTGCAATGTGTTATGTGTTTATACATGTGTGTCTTGTATAGGCACATGTACTTGTCTTACTCAGTCACTCTTGATTGAGGCAAGGTCTCTTGATGATTTTGACTTGTCTATCTAGTCAGCTTATCATCGAAATCCCTTGTCTATTTTTTTTTTTTTTTTTTTTTTTTCGAGACAGGGTTTCTCTGTGATTTTGGAGCCTGTCCTGGAACTAGCTCTTGTAGACCAGGCTGGTCTCGAACTCACAGAGATCCACCTGCCTCTGCCTCCCGAGTGCTGGGATTAAAGGTGTGCGCCACCACCGCCCGGCTGTCTATGATTTTTGAATGCTGCCTATTAGGCCTATCCATCTTTTACATGGGTTTTGAGGATCCAAACTCAATTCCTCATGCTTCTGGATAAATGGTTTATCCATGGAACACCCCTACCCCCAGCTTCAAATGAATCTTTCTGTTGTACTATTTACATTTGATTGGCTCCTGAAAATAGACTCATTTAAGAATAGACGCTATTAGGATAGCCAAAGCTAATAGAGAAACACTCTCTCAAAAAAGAAAAAAAAAAAGAAATAGAGAAGCTGTAGCTGCTTCTGGTAACTTATGTGTCTAACCTCAGTCCTTGAGAGGCTGAGGCAGGAGGATCTCAAGGTCAAGGTCAGTGGGGACTACTGTCCATTCCAGGAATAGTGTGACATTCATGGAGAGATATGAATAAATGTCTCCTTGTCCCTGGTAAGGGGCTGGCGACAGACTCATAAGGATACCAGCTTGGTGAACCAATGAATTTTATGGGTGTTCATTGTCAGGAATACGAGTGAGAGGTTACTCACTGGATTATAAGTTATTTCAAAGACAGCTGCATCATCAGAGCCCAACCCAGCTTGGACGATGATGACTCATGAAAGCTGAGAACCTGGCACTGCACAGCTTGAAGGCAGTTCAGCAGGTTGGAGAGTGTCTTTTAGACATCACAGCTCCATTGGTCTACTCTCTTCTAGGTGGCTTGGCTTATCCAAGAGGGTTTCTCAGAGTCCTTACTGCTTATATGCACTTGGAGAGGGAAGGTCGGTTTTAGGGACTTCCTGAAGCCTTTGAGTTGTTAGCTCCTGAGCTTAACAAGCTTCTCTAGGAACATCCCATGTCTTAAGCTTCTCATCCACTGAGAAGGTTCTATAGGAAATTGCCACACAGCAGGTACATAGGGAGAACCTGTCTCAAAACCACACACACACATACACATACACACACACACACACTTAGATTCTTTCATAATGAAAGGGTTATAGTATTTGTGTAATATATATGTAATTGACTGATATTATGATTTACATTTATACATGTATATTTGTGCCTGTGTGTACATCTGAGTGCCATAACTTGTGGAGGTCATAGGACAGCCTGAGGGTCAGTTCTCTCCTTCTAACTTTTGGGTTCAATGTATTGGACACAGGTTGTCAGGCTTGGCATCTTATCTCACTGGCCTCACGAGTTTTATATTTAGATGTTCACATTGGGAATTATGAGACAGGGTCTCACTATGTAGCCTTGGCTAGTTTAGAACTTGCTATGTAGATCATGCTGGGCCCTGAACTTACAGAGATCAGCCCTGACTCTGAGTGCTAGGACTAAAGGCCTGCACTGCTATGCCCAGCAAATGGAGTTATTGTACAAAAACAGTAGCTTTAAGTAGTAAAAACCTCAAATGAGGTGTTGGAGAGATGGCTCAGAGGTTAAGAGATCTGATTTTTCTTCCAGAGGTCCTGGGTTCAATTCCCAGCAACCATGTGTTGACTCACAGCCATCTGTAATGAGATCTGGTGCCCTCTTCTGGTGTGCAGACATATATATGGAGAACACTGCTCACACAATCAATCAATCAATAAATAAATGCTTTTTAAACGTTCAAAAGGAACAAAGGGAATGTAGACAAAAGTCTTTCCACCTTTGTTTTTTCATGGTTTAAAAGTCTGTGGTTCTCCCTCTTTCCCCCTGAAGCAACAAATGTTAACAATTACAACAATGCATTTTTTTATTACATGTATTTATTGTGTGTGTATTTGTGTGTATATATGCGGGCACATGCATGCCCTGGTGAGTGTGGAAGTGAGAAGATAGTTTGTGGGAGTCAGTGTGTGTTCTGGAGACTGAAGTCAGGTTTTCAGGCTTTGTACAAGAGACTTAACCACTGAGCCATCTCATCAGCTCACCAATTTTTAAATATATCATTCCAGATTTATAATTTATGTGTACTTCAATAAAATATTAAGCTGACATTGTGGTGGAAAGTAAGATTTGAATTCACCTTTTAAAAAACCAAGTTATAATTGGGTAGGAGCAAGAAGTTCTGGGCTTTTGCACTGTAGGCTGATGGAATACCTGAGAGCTGGACAAGGTGGTATACCCTTGTGACTCCAGCAGGTGAGAGACTGAGTCTGCAGCCAGTGTGGGGCCACATGGTGGACACGAGCACCAGGCTACCTAGGGCTTCATAGCAACATCCTATCTCATAGACTAGGAAAATAAAAAAAAATTACAAAAACATACACCAGGAAATATATTTCAGAAAAATAGATTTTGCACATTTTTATCACAAAGCATCGAGAAATGTTTGACATGATAGAAATGCTCAGCTTAAGATACCATTTATTTATTTATTTTCTTTTATTATTGGCCTCAAACCCAAGATAGACTATATACCAGTGAGTTACACATCTGGTACCATTTGTTTATTTTAAAAGCGAGAAAAGATTTCTTATTATTATGTTTTTAGATTCCTTATTAAATGCTACCAAGTATCTGAGTGGTGGTGGGGAACACTTTTAATCCTAGCCCTTGGGAGGCAGAGGCAGGTGGATTTCTGAGCTAAAGGCCGGCCTGGCTTACAGAGTGAGTTCCGGAACAGCTAGTGCTGCACAGTGAAACCCTGTCTGAAAGCAAACAAACAAAAGCTACCAAACAAATATGAAAGAAAATCTTATAACTTCTCCCTTCTCTGTGTATTTATCCATCTGTCCATCTTTATTTTAGTCAGGTTCTTAATGTAAACTCCATATTGACCTAGAACTTTTGGTCCTTTTGCGTTGGCCTCCTTAGTGCCAAGATTACATTGTATACCAACATGCCTGGCAGGTTATCTTTTTCAGTTAAGTTATAGGGAAAGTTTGAAATATCTGAGTTATTGCTCATTAATAACTTGTTTTGAATTCAGACTTCTCAGGAAATGCTAAGTTAATGACTGTTTACATTCAGTAGGCAAGATAATCAGAGCACTCAAGATGCTGATGATAATGGAGACGTGGAAGAGAAGGCCGATGATGGGCCGCTGCTGGTTCCTCGAGTAAAAGTGGCAGAAGATGGTTCTATTATTTTAGATGAAGAAAGGTGAGTTAAAGAGATGGGGAGAGAGGGAGATGATAGCAGAGAACATATCACATTATTGAGGAGAGGTTCTGTTTCTGAATCTGTCAGTATAACTTTATAAACTTTTATAAACTCATATCATGAGTAGTGTAAAAAGGAAATCAAACTAAATTAGTATGTAATTTTAGTATGTTATGCACGAGATGGTATCGCTCTCCTATTTTCTGTCAACCTTTTACTCCTCTTGCTGCTAATCCAGTCCGGCTGCTGAGCCAGCTGTGTGCTATTGTCCACTGAGGGTGGATTTCTAGGATTGACTTAGTTATGAAGTTGATATTTAGGTTTTATCAAATGTAGTAGTTTCACTTTGTTGATATTTTTGAGACAGGGTGTCACTGTGTAGCCCTGGCTGGCCTGGAACTCACTTTGTAGTCCAGGTTGGTCCCTAACTTTACAGGATTCACCTTTCTCTGCTCCTGAGTGCTAGGGTTAAAGTTGAGTGCCACAATACCTCACACTAATTTTGTATTTGGGTGTATGGTTGTAATGGACAATTCCTTGAAAATTGAGTTATGTGTGGTTGTAAGCTTTCTGATGTGGGTGCTGGGAGCTGAATTTGAATCCTCTGGAAGAGCAGCAAGCACTTTTTTTGTTAAAAAATGCACATGTGCACACACACACACACAAGCATACACATCTTGTTTTTTAATTCCTTGAGAGTTTCCAGTTTTGTGCATCATGTTTTGATCATATTTCCAGATCCACTTTCTTTCTTTGTGACCCTTTTTTAAAAAACAAAACAAAACAAAACAAAAAACCTTCAAGACCAGTGAGTGCTACTCAAATATTCTTGAATGTATGGTATTCCACTAGAGCATGGTCAGCTTTATTAGGTCAACTTTATTATTCTTAGAGAAAAGTATCTCTCTTTTACCAATAGCTATTGGTTGCTATTTGGTGCACAGGTAGGGGTGGGATTTTATGCTCAACTCCCCTGTCCATGCTGGAATTTGTTCTAGTTCGGGGTTGTAAAGGTTTTGTGTATTCTGTAACAGTCACTGTGAGTTCATATTTGTAGCTGCTACCTTGCTGTGTGTCCAGAAGCTGTCTCTTTGTAGTTTTCCTGCCTCTGAAAGTTTTTTCACCCTCCCTTCCCATAGTGATTCTTGAGCCTTGGGAGGAGTATGTGTTAGGGCTTACATTTTGTAGTCTCTTATATTCACTGCACTTTGGCCTTGTGGGTCTCTGTTAATCATCATCTACTGCACAAATCAGTCTCTCAGATGAGACTGAGGGTTGCACTGATCTACAGTATAATAGTATACAGTATATACATCAAGCAATTCTTTTTTTTTTTTTTTTTTTTTTTTCGAGACAGGGTTTCTCTGTGGCTTTGGAGCCTGTCCTGGAACTAGCTCTTGTATACCAGGCTGGTCTCGAACTCACAGAGATCCGCCTGCCTCTGCTTCTGCTGGGATTAAAGGCGTGCGCCACCATCGCCCGGCCTGCATCTAGAAATTCTTAACTGCTTATCTCTCTAGCTCTAAAGTGTATATTTTATAAGGGATGAGTTAAAAAAGAGAAATGAAAGGTTTTGAAAGTTTAGTTAGTAAAAATGTACATGACATTTAAATTTGATTATAATAATCATAGATGTAATACTGATAATAAGTTTTTATAGTTGATGGTGATTTTACATGTCATTAACCATTAAAGAAATATTAGCCCAGGGGCCATATAGAAACCAACAAAACAAACCCAGTTGTGGTGACACATGCCTGCACTCTCATGAGTTGAGATAGATGAACAGGAATTTTAAGCTATCCCCAGCCACACAGCGAGTCCTCTAGCCTGGACTACATAAAGCCTGGTCAAACAAACAGACAGACAGACAGACAGAAAAACAAAAAAGGCAGTAGAAGTGTTGTTTCTTAGGTAGTCCAAGTTATTTTGAAACACTGTAATGAAAACAGGCTGGCATTTATGTCTGCTGCTTAGGAATAATGTTCAGAAAATTTGTATTTTGAATTTAAATATAATTTTTTCAAATTATGTTTTATATTTTTGATATTACTGATATAAGTTTTAAAATACAGCCAGTTAAATCTCATCATCTGTTCTTTTTCATGCTTGTTTTTAGTGTGACTCTTTGAAAATGTCTTTCTTTCAGTTTAACTGTAGAAGTTTTGAGAACAAAAGGTCCCTGTGTTGTTGAGGAAAATGATCCTATATTTGAGCGTGGCTCAACAACCACATATTCCAGCTTCAGGAAAAACTATTATTCAAAACCATGGTCAAATGAAGGTAACTAATTCTCATTAAAAGTTGTATGCTGATTTTTTTTTAAATGAAGTGAACTATTTTATGTTATCTTTTTTTTTTTCTCTCTCTCTCTCTGAGACAGGGTTTCTCTGTGTAACAGCTCTGGCTGTATTGGAATTCACTTTGTAGACCAGGTTGACCTCCAGTTCACTGAGGTCTCTCTCCCTGCCTCTGCTTCCAAAGTGCTGGGATTAAAGACAAGCACCCCCACCTCCTGGCTCTATTTTATGTTTTCTAATTAAATCAGACTTGTAAATAAAATGTCAATTGATATGTTGTCTTTTATCCATTTAATTTTATTGGTTCCCCTTTCTTTGTCCCCTACTGTCTTTGACTTTACCCTAGAAATCATTCTAAGAATTAACATTCTAAGAATCCGTTTTCCTGGGTTCTTAAGCTTTTTCAAATTCTACAGAGAAACAACATTTAAGTGACTAATTGACAGTATTTCTGTGTAAGCACGATGTGTGCTGTAGAGTATTCTGCTTCCAATGTTTCTAATCATCATGGCCTCCTTGAAAACATGGTCACCTAGCATTTCTACAGCTGGTCCCCTGCAGTGAAGTTACATACCTAGAATGTAAGCATTGAGGACTCTTAGGCCAGACAATCATTAATTTGAGACCAGTCTGGCCTATATAAAGAATCTTACCTCTCTTGGTGGTGCTGGCACACCCCTTTAATTCCAGCACTAGGGAGGCAGAGGCAGGTGGATCTCTGTGAAATCGAGGCCAGTCTGGTCTACATAGTGAGTTCCAGGACAGTCAGGGCTACACAGAGAAACCTGTCTTGACCCTCCCCCCAAAGAATTTTACCTCAAATAAACAAAAAAAA